CTGTACACAACAAACCAGACCAGTGTAAACTATGCCCTGCCCATTAGCAATAAGAAAATATAATTGATGCCGCAGAAAGGCATAGATGCTGAATCCCAGGATTTTAAATAACTGTCCTAATGTATCGTCCCTCTGTTCACAACCTTCAAAGAAGGCAACTGGTCACACATATGATAAAGACACATTAACAACATATTTAAAAAACACAAATTCATCCACACATCTTGCTACAGAGAGACCTTCCCCTTACAGCATTTGTAAGTGATAGTTAAAAAGTAAAACAGTCACAAAATATCTCTATACTGTACCCTGCTGACAATAACTTTCTGGTTATAGTAAGTTACCACTAGTCAGAGCAGCCTCAAAATAAAATCAGCCTTCTGTAAGTGATTATTTTTTCCAAGACAGCTATAGTGTAACAGATATCTTCCTCATTTTCCTGGTATTGTGAAGACCATACAGTGGATTTACAGCATAGAAGACAATAAAGAACAGACATCATTCTTAAATTGCATACCTCTTTGTCCAGAGGTAAAGAGCTGACTGATACAAGTCATTCCTCACACAGGTTTCATCAGACCCAACAACCAGTTAAGGATGTTCATAGGCCAGCCCTTATTTTCAAACAGCCCTTGCACCAGACAATGAACATTGTTTCTGCTAGTTTTCCTCAGATCTCACCTCTGGTTTTCAAGGCTTTCACTGATTGTCTTCACCTTATAGAGGGTTTGCTGTACACTTGATATGGTTTGAAGCTGGCTCCCTGCCAAGTCTCCAAACCTTACCACAAGAAGCCCTCCCCCCTCCAAACCTCAGGGAGAAGAGGGAGAAAAACAACCAAGAAAAAACTGAAATGAGAGAGAGACAACTAAAGCTATATATATATATATATTTACACTTATGTTACAGGTATATACAATTGAAATATATATACAATTTCACAAGGGAACGGGAAGGGGGAAAGGAAAAGGAACAAAACTAAAATAATATATGTATATATATCCTGATTAGTAGCCCAATATCTAACAACTAAAAGAGTTAGCAAAGAAATATCTGACTACTCTCCTTGGGACAACTGAGAGTCGCTCCGGAACGATCGCCGGCAACCTCTGTCTCCCAAGGTCGGCAAGGCCTAACCAGGCCTCACTCCCCAACACGGCAGACTCAACAGCAGGGAACCTGCACCTCCAAGATGCTGGAAGGAAAGAGAGAGAAGACCTTTCCTCCTTTCTTCTTATAGTCTGGCTTACGTAAAAATCGTAGGGAATACTGGGTAAATCTGGACCCTTCCTTGGTTACAAACTGGTCACCAAGGAAGGCCTAGCCCAAACTACCACAACACTGGATAAACTTTTGTGGTACTCTTGAAAGACAGTTCTGAAAGCAAATATCTCCTGAAAACCTCCTCTGAAGACTTTCTGCATATGAACTTGTAAATCTACTGCCATTAAAAACCCATGCACTGAGGAGCATCAGACAATAAATTCATCCTTTGTTTAAATCTATTCTTCTCACATATATGCCAAAGTATACATGGCATTAGAAAACAGGTATGAGTTTAGAACATGGTTAAAATATACTTCCCACACATAAAATTCTATAATGATTGTGGGTACAAGCTGACATAACATGGGGTTAACAGGTATGTACTGCTACTTCATTTTTGCTAGCAGGAGACTTGATGGCTTTCAAGTAATAAATCATAAAAACTTTCCTATTTCTAAACGTTTTAAGATAAGGGAGTTCGAAATCAATTTACGTTTCTATACTTAGGTTCCAATCTTTCTAACCGGGGACAAAACATGCTGTCCTTGTCAAATCATTTCAATGTGAACCAACTGAAAATTTACTATCTTATAAAGATCATCTATGTCTTTTCCCAGCATTTTTTGAAGACAATGTCCATACCAGCTGCAATTTTACTTAAGTAAAAGAGGGTCAGTGGGAGGGAGAAACAAACACACGTACATAGATGCTCTTTTGTAAGTTGGTCTATTACAAATGTTATTTAGTCTTATATGTAAACAGCAAAAATCATATGTGAAAAAATTAAATTAAGTTACATTTGTGTGCTTTATGTGCTATGTCTTAACATCCTTATTACTGATTTTTTTTCAGTAATGCTTTATATACATGTTGACTATCTGCTGCTGTGTGACTCCCTCTTGCTGCGAGAGCAAATTATTTAGCAGTTGGGGCAATGTGGTTGAGGGGGACAAGCAGTGGGGGACACAAGAGACTTCTTGTCAGATGAGTAGGACGCTCTAGGCAGCATGAAATGGTCTAACCATCTGAGCAACAACTGCTGTGGGGTTCTTTTCTTTCCCCTCTGGTTGGCTAAGTTGTCTGACTCTTTCCCAGGAAAAGAATGGTATGGAGAAAGGGAAGGAAAGTAGGGAACTGATAGTCATGGAATATGTGGGAAAGTACCTCAGTGTATTTATGCTAATTTTTTTAACTCTGAAGTTTGCCGGTTATGGTTTTATCATGCTCATGTAAC